AAAAAACATCAGGGTGGGAAGTTTCTGGCTATTGTTCGGCCCCGGGGGCCCTCGCTGGGCCTCGGGACCGGCAAAAGACGACTCGGGACGAAAAACCGGTCCCAGGAAAAGGGTCGGGATTTCCATGGACGCCGTCCTGAACAACATCAGGACGTCGCACGTCTTGGACTGGGAGGGGCGGCTCTTCGGGCGGCCAGGGTGTGCAGCCGGGCTGGACCTTAGCGCTGTTTTGCTGGACTTCGGCCGTGTTCTGTTTTTCGTGTTGGCAGGGAGGTGCAGGAACACAGGCAGAGCAGCACACACAACAGAACGAAAGCAAAGCGAAGTATACAACGTTTCGGTCCAGCCCTGGCGTGCAGAGGGTGCAGCCTCTCTGCCCCTCTGCCGCCGTGCAGCAATTGGCGGATACAGTCGACCCGCAGAGTAAGGATAATTAGGCATCCCTCCCAAGGGTACCCTTGCATCCTTGCTTCCTGGGTCCATCCTTGGGCACTTTCGTTGGCCGCGCCCCGCTCGCAAAGCTTCGACATGGGCTTCCAAGGCCCTTGCATCCTTATCGCGCATCCTTACTCTGCGGGTTGACTGTAGGCCAGTGCTGCCAGGTGTGCCCGGAAGCCCTTGCGGAGGAGGGGGAGGAGGAGGGGGGAGGAGGAGGAGAGGAGGAGGAGGAGGAGGAGGAGGAGGAGGAGGAGGAGCAGGAGGAGCAGGAGGAGCAGGAGGAGCAGGAGGAGGAGGAGGAGGAGGGGGGGGGAATTTACACCCAGAGGGGGCACCGCCCTGAGGGGGGGGGGCCTGCGCTGCCGGACGGGTGCGGGCCTCGCGCCCGGCTGCGCTGGTGCACCGCAGGAGGTCGCGTGGGGCACCGCGTTGGGCCAGGCCTTTCGGGCCGGACGAAAGGGTGGGATTGGGAAAGGGGGTGTTAGGAAATTCGCTGCCTGCAGCTGGTTTTGGTCCCACCGAGGGGCCCATTCCTCGATACATAGCCGCCTCCGGCGCCGGGAGGCGCCGGGAAAATCAGCTACGTGAGCTGATTCTCAACCCCCGTTTTGCTATCCCCCCCTTTCGTCCGGCCCGAGCCTCGCGTCTAGGCTTAGATCGGGTATGTCCTTCAACGAGATCCGGACATGATCGCGTCGTAAAAAATTATGCAAACGGAGTCCCCCACATAAAGATACTAACGGTTTCGTGGGACCCATGGGGTACGACAACATCAGCACGAAGGAAAAGCTCATCGAACGAGTAAGTACGAAAGAAAGGGCAGACGAAAGAAAGGAGGAGGGAGGACAGGTGCTCAGGAAACGAAGCCTTGTAAATAGTATGGGTTTCCGATACCCTCCTCGCTCAGGCGGGGCTTCCCGGGAGGGGTGGGAGGGGCACGAAGCCTTGTAATAAATAGTATTGGTTTCCGATACCCTCCTCGCTCAGGCGGGGCCTCCCTGGAGGGGTGGGAGGGGCACGGAACTATGTAAATAGTTTTTAGGTTTCCGATGCCCTCCTCGCTCAGGCGGGGCCTCCCTGGAGGGGTGGGAGGGGCACGAAACCATGTCAATTGTATGGGTTTCCGATACCTTCCTCGCTCAGGCGGGGCCTCTCTGGAGGGGTGGGAGGAACACGAAACCATGTAAACAGTATATGTTTCCGATACCCTCCTCGCTCAGGCGGGGCCTCTCTGGAGGGGAGGGAGGGGCACGAAACCATGTATAGCATACGGGTTTCCGATACCCTCCTCGCTCAGGCGGGGCCTCCCTGGAGGGATGGGAGGGGCACGAAACCATGTATAGAATACGGGTTTCCGATACCCTCCTCGCTCAGGCGGGGCCTCCCTGGAGGGATGGGAGGGGCACGAAACCATGTATAGCATACGGGTTTCCGATACCCTCCTCGCTCAGGCGGGGCCTCCATGGAAGGGTGGGAGGAGCACCGAACCATATACGGGTTTCCGATACCCTCCTCGCTCAGGCGGGGCCTCCCTGGAGAGGTGGGAAGGGCACGAAACCATGTAAGTAGTATTGGTTTCCGATACCCTCCTCGCTCAGGCGGGGCCTCCCTGGAGGGGAGGGAAGGGCACGAAACCATGTAAATAGTATGGTTGTCCGATACCCTCCTCGCTCAGACGGGGCATCCATGGAGGGGTGGGAGGGGCACGAAACCATTTAAATAGTATAGGTTTCCAATACCCTCCTCGCTCAGGCGGGGCCTCCTTGGGAGGCGGGAGGGAAAAGGAGAGGATGCTCTGGGAAAACAAGAACCCCTCTCGGGATGTGGGGAAATAGCATTGGTTTCCGATACCATCCTCGGTCAGGCGGGGCCTCCCTGGAGGGGTGGGAGGGGCACGAAATTATGTACATAGTTTTTAGGTTTCCGATGCCCTCCTCGCTCAGGCGGGGCCTCCTTGGATGGGTGGAAAAGGGGCACGACACAAGATAAATAGTGTAGGTTTCCGATGCCCTCCTCGCTCAGGCGGGGCCTCCCTGGAGGGGTGGGGAGGGCACGAAACCATGTAAATAGTACGGGTTTCCGATACCCTCCTCGCTCCGACGGGGCCTCCTTGGAGGGGTGGGAGGGGCACGAAGCCATTTAAATAGTATGGGTTTCCGATACCCTCCTCGCTCAGGCGGGGCCTCCCTGGGAGGCGGGAGGGAGAAAGAGAATGATGTTCTGGGAAAACAGGAACCCCTCTCAGGATGTGGGGAAAGAGTACAGGTTTCCGATACCCTCCTCGGTCAGGTGGGGGCCCCATGGAGGGGTGGGAAGGACACGAAACCATGTAAATAGTTAGTTTCCCGATACCCTCCTCGCTGAGGCGGGGCCTCCCTGGAGAGGTGGGAAGGGCACGAAACCATGTAAATAGTATGGTTGTCCCATACCTTCCTCGCTCAGGCGGGGCCTCCCTGGAGAGGTGGGAAGGGCACGCAGCCATGTAAATAGTATGATTTTCCGATACCCCCCTCGCCCAGGCGGGGCCTCCCAGGAGGGGTGGGAAGGGCACGAAACCATGTACATTGTATGGTTTTCGATACCCTCCTCGCTCAGGCGGGGCCTCCTTGGAGGGGTGGAAATGGTATTGATATGGGAGGCAGGAGGCGGGAAGGAGAGGGAGAGGATGTTCTGGGAAAGCAAGAACCCCACTCAGGATGTGGGGGAAAAACAAAACCCCACTCAGGATGTAGGGAATAGTACAGGTTTCCGATACCCTCCTCGCTCAGGCGGGGCCTCCCTGGAGGGGTGGAAAAGGGACACGAAACCATATAAACAGCACGGGTTTCCCATACCCTCCTCGCTCAGGCGGGGCCTCCCTGGAAGGGTGGAAGAGGGGCACGAAACCATATACATAGTATTGGTTTCCGATACCCTCCTCGCTCAGGCGGGGCCTCCCTGGAGGGGAGGGAGGGGCACAAAACTATATAAATAGTTGTTAGGTTTCCGATACCCTCCTCGCTCAGACGGGGCCTCCTTGGAAGGGTGGGAGGGGCACGAAACCATGTAAATAACATGGGTTTCCGATACCTTCCTCGCTCAAGCGGGGCCTCCCTGGAGGGATGGGAGGGGCACGAAACCATGTAAATAGTATGGTTTTCCGATACCCTCCTCGCCCAGACGGGGCGTCCCTGGAGAGGTGGGAAGGGCACGAAACCATGTAAATAGTATGGTTGTCCGATACCCTCCTCGCTCAGGCGGGGCCTCGCTGGAAAGGTGGGAAGGGTACGAAACCATGTAAATTGTATGGGTTTCCGATACCCTCCTCGCTCAGGCGGGGCCTCCCTGGAGGGGTGGGAAGGGCACGAAACCATGTAAATAGTACGGCTTTCCGATACCCTCCTCGCTCAGGCGGGGCCTCCGTGGAGGGGTGGAAATGGTATTGATGGGGAATGCATATAATGCAGAAAGGAACAAAGGAGCCGGCCTATGGCATTGCGGTCGTGGCCATTTTGGCTTCAGTGTCCATATCATTTGATTTTGGACACTGAAGACATTGCGCGGGAGTCTGACGCAACGAAATTGTCACGAAATTCTGTTCCCAAATGCATTGCGTCCCCATCGTAATTTGGGGCGGCTTGGGAGGGCAGGCCAGCGCATTTGTTGGGGAATGCATATAATGCAGACAGGAACAAAGGAGCCGGCCTAGGGCATTGCGGCCGTAGCCATTTTGGCTCAAGTGCGTTGCTTTGGTGGCTCAGGGCTGGACGCTCGTCGTCCGGCTCGGTCCGCCGCCGAGGACGTTCGCCAGGGCCAAGGACCGGTCACGGCGCGCCAGAACCCGTTCGGACAAATATCCGGCAGGTATTCCCCTTGCCGGTGCCCAGGCTCCCTCGAGGTTAACCAAGTCGCCGAGAGGGTGGCTGCGGTGGCCCGCGCGCTTGCCGACTCCGGTGCCGACGTCAGCATCGAAGGCCTTCACCGGTCCTACATCTGGCAGTTGGATTCCTACGATTCCCTTCTCGACGAGGGTTGGTCAGACGCTCGTTTCTCTCATTGCCGGTTTGGTGCCGACTGCGACCGCCCGGTAAGGTTGCGATGTCGCGGCCAACGCCCCGACGCGCTGGAGGGATTATGTGGCATTGCCGGGGACGGGATCTCCTACCTCTGCGGGAGGACGAGCCCGCACCCGTACAGAGGTTTCGTCAGCCTGGCTTCCGACGGGCCCGAGGACGTGCATGACGGAGTTCTGGACGCTTGGGCGCACGAGCGCAAAGCATGGGATGCGGGAGCGAAGCTGGCAGAGCCGGGAGCATCTTTGTCTTTGCCCAGCCCCTCCACTCCCACGGTCGCCTCTCAGGGCGATCGTGTCCGTCGCCAGTTTTCTCGTGGCGCCGACGGGGACAGTCAGCGGGAGGTGCGGCGTCGCGAAGATTCGACCTGTTCGGCGGGCCTTCGCAACGATGCTTGGGCTGTTCCTGCTGCTGGAGGGCTCTGGGATATCATGTGGACGGTGCGGGAGGCCATCATCGAGGTCCGCAGATCTACGCCGTCCCTCCAGAATCTGACGGATTGCTGTGGTTCTCCACCGGCCCGCCCGCCACCCGCCCCAGAAACGGTGTCTGCCCTACGCAGGGCTGTCGGGCGAGCGCTCGGAGCCCCCGGGGCAGAAGTGGAACGCACCCACCCTGCATCAGGGATTCGATGCCAGCTTGTGCAGAAGATCTTGAGGGTCACTCGGGACTCAGACGAAGAATTCGGGTCTTGGATGGAAGCGGGCGCGCCTATGGGAATTGCGCGCGCCATCAGCCCAGGGGTGCACGTTCCGTTGGCCGAGTCGCCCAGCATATTGCGCCCGGCTGATTTGGCATCTGGGGCCTTCAGGTTTACTTCCAATCATCCGTTTTTTGACGACAATTACGGGGAGATCGAACCACCCACGCTGGATATGATACGCTCGTAATTGTCCAAAGGATTCGGTGAGACTTTCAGCAGCGAGGCCGAGGCGGCGGCGCGCTTCGGTCAGGTTTTCCCGGCGCCGCTGGGGAACGTCCGGAAGCGCAAGCACGACGGGTCGTTCAAGAACCGTATCATTCAGGATCTCAAGACCAATCGGGTCAATTTGGCGGTTTCGACGCACGAGCGGGCCGTTCTCCCCCGCGGAATTGACCACTGGGTAGACTTGGCTGCCCTGGCGCAGCGTGCCCTCGGATGTTCCGGTGGGGTCGTGAAGGTGTTGATCTTGGACTTCAAGGACGCTTTCATGAGCATCCCATTGCACGAAGAGGAGCGAAGGTTTAACGTTGCCGTCAAGAGCCTCCGTCTCCAGGCGCAGGCCGGGTGATCGTATGGCGCGTGTTGGGTTTGGGAGGCAAGTCCAATCCTCTGGTTTACTCCAGATTTGCTTTGTTCGTGGCCCGGTCGACCCAGGCCACGTTGTCGGCAGACGTGGGCCGTCTGCAGCTGTATGTCGACGACCCTGCTCGGACGCTGGCCGGCACAGAGGCTGACGTCCAACTCAACGCGGATGTCGTCCTCGCATGGTGGCTCACGCTCGGGTTGGGCCTGTCGTGGGACAAGGGCGTTTTCACGTCAGGACACCACCAGTGGATCGGCATCAAGTACGACGTTGTAGATGGCACGGCGCACATGTCCCTCCCGCGGGAGTTCTTGGACGAAACGGCTGTGTTATTGCAGCTTTTTGCCAGGCGCGGCGGCGTTGCCCCGCTGTCGAAAGGCACGCTCGCTTGTGGGGAAGGTTTCCCGAATAGCACAAGTGGTGCCCGAGGCGGCGCCATTTGCTGGGTCATTGTGGGCAGCTATTACAGCCGCAGAAGCGGCCGCGCGCTCGTCCCAGCTTGAGGCTCCTCCGGGTCGCGTGGCAATTCGCCGGTTTCCGGCTGCCGTTGCGTGGTTCCTGGGTTTGGTCCAAGGAGCAGTTGTTCTTTTGCGTCGTGTGGTGCGCGAATCACCGGACGACCAGCGCCTCCCGCCAGCGCCGGAGCACGTCGAGTTCGACGCTTCGCCATGGGGCTGTGGCGGCGTGTTGGTTAGAGGCGGCCAGCCCATGCAGTATTTTCATTGCGCGTGGACGGACTACATTTGCCAGCGTTTCGGGGCCACAACAGGAGACCCGAAATGGCAGATTTTATGGGAGACCATCGCTGTCCTCCTGTGTTTGCTCGTCTGGGCAGACGAATATGCAGTCTCACAGCACGTTACCATCTGGGGTGACAACTTGGGTGCCCTCACGGGCGCCGCAAATTTTAAAGGTCGTAGGTTTTTGAACGCAGTTACTCGTGAGATCTCGTGGCGAAAAGCTGCGTATCGATGGAGCTATTCGGTGGCCCACCTGCCATCAGAGGCAAATGTCTGGGCCGATTCCCTCTCTAGGCTCGCGGCTGTCCCGCCGATGCCCTTCCCCGAGGCGCTTTTGGCCGCCAAGGCCGTTCCCCCGCCGGCGCTCGATGTGATTTGGCGGGCGTGGTTAGCGGATTGCCCGCCACCGCGCCCGGCAATGACTCAGCGGTCCGCGGGGGAGGGTGTTTAGGGCGCGGGGAGTGCAAGCAGCTGCGTGCCGCGAGGTGCCCAAAACATCAAGACATTATTGTTGTCCTCGAGGTCACGCGCTGATTAAAGATCTTTTCCTCCCTCTCCTCTCCCCTCGCCTCTCTCTGCCCTCCCCTTTCTGCCCTCACTTTCCGTGCCCCTGCATGTTGGCATCTCGGTGCAAGGTTGCCAGGCCGCCATTCCGCATGCCGGTCCGTCCCTTGGATTCCTCCCATGTGGCGGCGTCGTCGGCCGAGGGGGGATTTAGTTCCGCTAGCCTCCAACCGCCTCCGGCGGGATTTGGGGTCTGGTTTGGCGGCTGCTCCATTAGGGGCCCTAGCTGGAGGCCATTCCGCTCTAGCTGGGTCTGGGGCTAGTCCTCGAACTGGGGATGAGGTGCGTGCGGCTTCCACTGCACAACCTGCCCCCGCGGCAGTTTTTGGGCTGCGTGCTGGCGCGCCTGGCCGGCGGGAGTACGCTCGGGGAGCATTGCCGGACCTCGGAACAGCCGAGTTGCGCTCTGCTGCACTGGAAGTTTTTTCGAAGGCCGCGTACGCGGAGTCGTCACGGGCATTTGCGGCCTCCAGGCTCAAGACGTGCCGGAAGCTTGTGGACATGTGGGGGTTGAACCTTCTCCCTCTCACTGCTGTGACGGTCAACGCTTTGGGGGCCAGTCTTAAAGCGGGTAGGTATCGTTCCGCCCGATTGTATTTGTTTGCTGCACGCGTGGAGGCAGAGCGGCAGGGACACGCGGTAGATCAGTGCGCGGCGCGAGCTTTGAAGGACGCAGCGCGGTCCTGTGAGAGAGGCATGGGCCCGAGCTCGCAGGCTTCTGCGCTACCATTCTTGGACCTTCACCGGCTCCCCGACGGCCATGCGCCTTGGGTTGACGGGGGGCCCGCAAACCCTAAGCTCATGATCGTCGCCGGCGCCTGGTGGCTACTGCGCGAGATCGAGATATTTTGCATCAGGGCCAAGTTCGTAGTTCCTTCCGGTTCTGGCGCTGTGTTGCAGATGTCGTGGAATTTACCGGCTTCCAGGCCTGACCCCGAGGCATTAGGGGCCGTCCCACGGTTGCTGCTGCCCATCAGGTAGTTTGGGGCCAATCTGCCCAGCCCACACTTTGGCAGCGCAGGCACGGTGGCTGAAGGCTCAGTTCCCGGATTTGTTTTCCGACGGGATGCCACTCCCCGATTTGCCAATGTTCCCCGACATTCAGGGCAACCCGTGCTCGAAGGTTGCGGTTGCGGCAACCATTGCCAAGGCGGCTGAGCTTTTGGGGTTGCCCTTGCGGGGGCCTGGCGGGGAAGAAAGGTGGACTGAGCATTCACTTCGCGTGACAGGCGCGCAAGGTCTGTCGCAGGCGGGTCTCGACACTTGGGCAATTCAGATGCTGGGTCGTTGGGGCTCGTCGGCCGTCTTAGGGTACATACGCGCAGCGCCCTTGTCACATTCTGCGCGTTGGGCGCTGCAGGCGTCGCGTGGTGCTGCCGCCAGATCCTCGGATGATGCGTTCGAGGAGCAGGCCGCGAAGCGACCTCGTAATTTTTGCGGCGTGCCTCACACTCACCAGGCTGGTACAGAGCTCACGGCACAGGTGGCCGAGTTAGCCACCACGGTCAGCTCCCTCCCCCCATTTGTACAGAATCTGCGCTCGTCGGTCGTGCACCGGGTGCAGGAGGGCTCGGTCCAGACATGCCCTTCGGTTTGGCGGACCTCTTGTGGCTGGCAGTTCGGTCTCGCCAGCCATAGGAGAATTATGTCCACGCCCACGTTTCACAAGCTGATTTGCGAGAGGTGTCTCCCGTCAGAGAGACAGGCCGCTAAGAATGCCTTCCGTGCATCTGTCGAGGCCAGCGCTGGTAGCAGTCCGTAATCGCAGTTTGGGGCGCGGGCATTCGGGGGATTGCCTCCCCGTGTGCCGGCGATTATGCTCCAGCGCGATGAACTGTTGCCACGCGAGAGAAAACATGCCATCATGTCTCTTTTCTGTTCCTCCTCCTTCTCCTCCCCCGCCAGCCGCATCACGACGGTGAGGCAGGAAAAAGAGCCACACTTTGTTGGCGTGATCTTTGTTGGCCTGGGTGAATCTCTTCGCACACCAACCCGACCTTGCGCGGGAGTCTGACGCAACAAAATTGTCACGAAAGTTTGCTCCCAAATGCGTTGCGTCCCCATCTTAATTTGGGGCGGCTTGGGAGGGCAGGCCAACGCATGTGTTGGGGAATGCATGTGATGCACAAAAGAACAATGGAGCCGGCCTATGGCATTGCGGTCGTGGCCATTTTGGCTTCAGTGTCCATACCATTTGATTTTCCCACCACATCCCTCCCTGGGGCGCGGGCATTCGGGGGGATTGCCTCCCCGTGTGCCGGCGATTATGCTCCAGCGCGAGGAACTGTTGCCACGAGAGAAAACATGCCATCATGTCTCTCTTCTGTTCCTCCTCCTTCTCCTTCCCCCCCAGCCGCATCACGACGGCGAGGCAAGAGAAAAAGCCACACTTTGTTGGCGTGATCTTTGTTGGCCTGGGTGAATCTCTTCGCGCACCAACCCGATATTGCGCACCTTGCGCGGGAGTCTGGCGCAACGAAATTGTCACGAAATTCGGCTCCCAAATGCGTTGCGTCCCCATCTTAATTTGGGGCGGCTTGGAAGGGCAGGCCAGCGCATTTGTTATGGGAAGCGGGAGGCGGGAGGGGAAAGGAGAGGATGTTCTGGGAAAGCAAGAACCCCACTCAGGATGTGGGGAAAAATCAGGGCGGGAGGTTTTGGGCTCTTTTCGGCCCCGGGGGGCCCTCGAAGGGCCTCGGGACCGTCAAGGCAGGACTCGGGACAGAAAACGGGTCCTGGGGAAAGGGTCGGGACTTCTTCGGACGCCGTCCTGAAAACATCAGGACGTCGCATGTCTGGGTACTGGAGTCAGATCCGCTACAGGAGGAAGACTCAAGAATAGTCCAAAAGTAGTTTGGGGACGATTCTTTGATTATTTTTTCAAGCATGTTTAAATATTTTTGGACTATTTTTCCTTTTTCCTCCAAAATCCGCCTGTAGGAGGACATGCCCGACCTAAACTTGTACCCTGCATTCAACCCCCGTACCCAGACAGCGGGCGTCTCGCAAAAGTCGAGACGGAGTTTTGTTTTGGTTGCTTTCGGCCTCTCGAGGCCTTCGCTGGGCCTCGGGATTCTCACAAACAGAATCTGGATAAAGAGTCGGCCCCCGGGAAGTGGTCGGGAGGTCGGGAGCCCGTGTCTCGAACAAATCGGGACGTCGGGTGTTTGGGCATATCAATGACGCACGATGTGGATGCCAGGGTTTTGGACGGCCATGTCGGCACTTTGCGAGCGGGGCGCGGCCAGCAAGAGCGGCCAAGGATGGGCCGAGGGGAAATTTTGCAAGGGTAGCCTTGGATCGACGTTCATCCTTACGCGCCGGTCGTTGAAAGTGGGTATTTTTGGACCTCCAGGTCCCAATCCACTTTAGGCACCTCCCGTCTTCAAGGATCGAGAATTCTCCCTCTTCCCTCGTCCTCCGGGGTCGCGCAGAAGCCCAGTCTGCTTTCACCGCCTTCTTACTTACTGTTTTCACTTGCTTCTTCCGAACGACGGGTACAATGCGGGTTGACTGTACGGTCGGTTCGTTTCGTGTCGACCAGTGGCGACCCCGCCGCCGCCATCGACCCAGAATCAGTCGATGCTGAACGAGCTGACGATTCCGAAACGGCCGATCCTTCAAGGTCGAACGACCCCCGCGGTGTCAGGAACCAACGCTGGGGTGGACGCGACACCCCAGACATGCGACGCCCTGATTTTTGTCAGGACTGCGCCCCTGGAAGTCCCGATCCTTTCCCCGGGACCGGCTTTCTGTCCCGAGTCGTTTTGTTGACGGTTTCGAGGCCCGGCGAGAGCCCCCTCGGGCCAAAAATAGCCAAAAACCTCCCGCCCTGTCTTAGGCGAAATGAACAATTGACAATAGACAACAGCCAATCGACAATTGCCCAAATAGCCACTAGACAATAGACAAATAGCCAACCGTCGACAAATTGCCAATAGCGGAAACATAGCCAAAGGGCCAATAGACAATAGCCCAAATAGCCGAACATGGCCCAACAAAGATTTTACGGCGCGATCCTGTCTGGGACACGAGCGCTGCCGTCGTCTCGTTGCGCGCTCGCTCGAGGAGCTCCTCGTGTCCGCGGGGGGGGGGGCACCGCCCCCCAGGGGGGGGGGCCTCCGCTGCCAGGCTCGTGCGGGCCTCGCTGCCCGGCTGCGCGAGTGCACCGCAGCAGGTCGCGTAGGGCACCGCTCGGGTACAGCCAGGACCCCAGGCAAGGGGACCCGGTTAGCATTCTATCGGGCCTGTTCCCCTACAGGGAGGTGTTCGACGAAAAACAAAACATGCCCCAAAAATGCCCCAAAGAGGTCAAACAATAGTCAAAAAATAGTCCCCAGAACATTTTTGGATTATTTTTGGATTATTTTCGCGGTATTCTTTTTCCGTAGAAAATCCCTTTGTAGGGGGACAGGCACGACTTAAGTATAGCCAGGACCCCAGGTAAGGGGACCCGGTTAGTAGTAGGGCCCCGGAGCCACTGAATTTGCCAGAATCACTAAACCAGGTCTGCCGTAGTTGGTGCTTTTCGGGTGCCGGCAGTTCCGGTTAGTGAAACGGGGCGGGGAGGGCGTCCCCCAGTACACATCACTAAACCAGGTCCCATTGAACCCAGTTTTGCCAACGCCCGAACCGCGTTGGGCCAGGCCTCGCGTCTAGGCTTAGACAGGGCATGTCCCTCTACAGGAGGGATATTCCAGGAGTCATGCACAAGACGGTCTTGTGACGAGTGCTCGTGCTCTTTGTCATGATCGTTTCACCAGTGCTCGGCAGTGCTGTATGTCCTTTCCAGCTTTGCCTGCAGGAGGACATGCCCGACCTAATCCTAGATGAGGTCCGAGTAGATGGGGTCGGAGGATCGCGCCGTATAGTCGATGCGACTCGATGTGAAGCCCGATGTTCTCCACCCTGGCGTCGCCGATGCATCGCCGATGTCGCCGATGCATCGCCGACGCAGCGGCGATGTATCGCCGATGTATCGGCGATGCGGCGCGATCCTCCGACCCCATCTGCTCCGACCCCATGAGGGAGGTCTCTACTCTCGGAGCTCAATGGACGGGGGTCAATACAAAGGGGGGTCAGTCAGAGCGCCAGATCTTGCAGGACCCTGCAGAGCTAGGGGTGCAGTGACCCGGGCTAGCGCGCAGGATCCTGGAAGGTCCTGCAGGATCTTGCAGGACCCTGCAAAGCTCGACTGACCCGGGTTTGCATTGACCCGGGTCAGTGGACCCCCGATTATTCCCCCTTTCCCAAAGGACTTCCCTGCAGCGGCCGCTGCAGCCGCTGGAGCGGTGACCAATACATCGAAGGCCAAGCTGCTTGCCCGTCACTGCCTTTCGGTGTCCTCGCTGGGCACCATCCGTCCTTGCTCCCCGGCCTCTCAGCGAGAGGAGGAGGAGGACGAGGACGAGGATGACGAG